CCCAGCTCTACATGACCTTTCTTTGCATAGTTATATAATTTACAAGAAAAAGTCCTCAATTAATTTCTTCTTATTTCTGTAGCTTTGAGCTGACAATGAACATTTAGGGCTTTGCTTATAAATTGTATAACTATGCAAAGAAAGGTCGTGTAGAGCTGGGAGATGTCTCATTTTAATCAGAAATTTGTGGGCTCCAACCATGCCTCATTAAAAGTAAGTTTGAGTTATTTTTTAGAGTTTCTGAAAAACTGGTTTTCCTTAAAACCGGGTCTTAAAGAGTCATCGGTACAAATCATTTTAGGGATTGAATAGGGATTGATTGATAGAAAATTCGATTGCATAAACGGTTTAAAAATATGCATGACCTGACTTGATTTTTTATGTCAAGTCACGTCAAGTCATGAGTCATCAAAAACTACCGAGGTCAAGTCAAGTCAAGTCATTTTTGACTTGACTTGCCCAGCTCTGGAAAGATACACCAAATCTGCAAAATAATTCTTCTTTACTTTGTAATTGAATAACAAAAGCTTTTAACTGAGAAGTTCTGTCAGACGCAAAACACTACTTTATTTATTCACTCTCCCTCCGGTTTCTTCTTATTTCCACTACCAAATTTTGTTAATAATGCAGTAAGGAGGCCTATTAAAGCTAAAAGATCAATGAAATCCAGTGACCCATTGTGATTCGTATCTACAGCGTTGAAGAGGGCCGTTGCCATGTATGAACTGACGAAACCGAGACCAACGCTCTTCAAAAATAATTCAACATCAACTTTAGTAATTTGTCCATCACCGTTCTTGTCGAAACTCTTAAACAGTGTGTAAAATTGATTGTTCAACAAACCCTCACCGCCGCCATCTTTACCTTTAAACATTTTATATACCTGACGAGCGTTAGTGATATAACCCGGTTTTGTTTGGATCGGCTCAGTACCAGCTTTCAGTCCACTACCTCGTTCGGTCAGTTGCTGAAACATAACATCAAGGCCACCAGGGGGTATATTTGGACTATCTGCCGGCATAGCATCCCGACCTGCTTGACTTTGAAAACCACTGCCAGAAAAGGCGAGCTTTTGAAATAATACATTGTAGCCAACATTGTCCTCCAGCGCAGATTCATCATCCATCGGTACATAGATCGATTGTTCTGTGGATGAACTCTTACCATATGCCATTGGATGGTCTGCATATCCGCCCATAGCTGCTACTCTGTAAAAGAGCGCCTCTTGGCCAATATTTGGGTTCATATAGTGCGGTAAAGGCTTTTCAGATACTTCCTCTGTGATTTGAGGGTTTCGAAGTATAGCTTTTATGGAATAAGTTGAATTGAACGTTTTTCGTGAAAGACAAAAAAAATAGAAGAGGTTAGTTTGTAGTATCGACTTTGAGACGTCGTTTGTGTCCGGTTACATTGAATCAGTTTGAAACAGCGGATAATCACTGCTTTGAGAGAATAGTCTCTGTTTCTGCTCCTCGCCATCGCCCAGTCCCGCCAGCTTGCGAAATAATTGTTCGTAACTTACATTTTGTGTTTGATCTGTTGTTTGAACAATAACGTGCTTCAACTGCTCACTACCGCCTTCTTCTTCATACGCTATTCGAAATTCGTCAACGAACGTTTTGACATCCGGTATCCCAGCACTGCGTAAAAAATAGTTCATAACATTTTTTTGAGACTGCACATTTTCCAAGTGGTCTGGATTCATTTTCGATGACCTATTGGCACGTTTGCTTTATATTAAATATGTAGGCAGCCTAGAGTAACAAATGATAAATCAAGGTTTCTACTTTCAAAAGTCTCATTTCCATTATCTTCTAGTTGTGATTACAGCTTCTGCAGTTCTGATAAATAGCGTCTACTTTAGATTTCAAACGACAATATTTGTGCACGCTTAGCGTTGATACGCTTCATAAAGATAACAAGCCACGTTCCTTTTCTCCTTTCTGTTATAGTCACTAATTTTTTTCTTGTATCCGAATGTGCAACGAATAGAACGAAACAGAAGTACATCACATGTCTCGTTTTCCTTAAGTCAACCGTCGATATTTCTAAAAAAAGCGAGACATGAGCTTCGTCATGAAACTATCAAAATGTGATGTTGTATGTTCGAGATGAAATGGAATGTCTGTACTGAAAGTAAAGTGAAGACTGTCGTATTGTGCTTATTCTTGGTTGGAAGAATAGTACATCTATCTCTAGATTAGTAGACCACTCTATATTACAGGGGCACGCTAAATAGAAGGACAATTTGGAGTGAAATGTTTGCAGAATGGTAGCACTGGCATGATTTTTTTTGAAAAAATGTTGATATGCGGAACCATAATAGAGCCTAGGTCCTTTTGTTCTGGAGAGTCACGGGGAAAATACAATCACAACACTAATATAAGTATGTATTAGTTATAACGTCGAAAAAGAATAGCTGCACAAAAGATAAGAAGTAATTGTTATTGCGTTACGTTCAATAACAATCAAAATGAAAATAAGCACAATACTACAGTCTTCACTTACTTTCAATACAGACATTCCATTTCATCTCGAACATACAACATCAGTAACTGGTCAAAACATTATCTATGCACAAATGCTTATTTACATCACATTTTGGTAGTTTCATGACGAAGCTCATGTCTCGCTTTTTTTAGAAATATCGACGGTTGACTTAAGGAAAACGAGACATGTGATGTACTTCTGCTTCGTTCTATCCGTTGCACATTCGAATACAAGAAAAAAATTAGTGACTATAACAGAAAGGAGAAAAGCAACGTGGCTTGTTATCTTTAAAAGTGCACAAATATTGTCATTTGAAATCTAAGGTAGACGCTATTTATCTGAACTGCAGACACGCTGTGATCACAACCAGAAGACGATAATGGAAATGGGACTTTTGAAAGCAATAAGCTTAATTTATTATTTGTTACACTAGGTTGACTATCTGGTTAATATAATATATGCTCCTTGCGCATAAGCTCTTTGAAGCTGATGTAATTGAGTGAATTGCATAGCCATTGTTGATGAAAAAATTCAAAAAAAGTTAAAAATAAAAATATTTTGCGTCGTACGTTTCATAGAGCATTTTCAACTGTATCTTAAAAAGTAGTTTTCCCTACACTGTACCGGAAATACTGGCGGATTTTTGAAGTTTTGTCCAAAGAAAAACTTCTCCGACCTAGGGTAGCCAAATGGAATTCACTAATTTTTTGTCAATAACCTATACTGTCATACACCGCTCGAAAGAACTCTGCAAGGCGAGTTCGATGAGACATATGTGGCATCCAGTTTGCACATGTATGGGCGTATGTGCCGTTTTATTCGAACTAAAATGGTGAAAAATCATTGTTTTTTCTTAAGAATGATTGCCAGAAAGTGGAAAATTGTAATTGTAAATAAAGATTACCATATACATCAAACAAATGTTTTGTAATTTCAATTGAATAGCCAGGTTTCAACGAATCGTATAATAGATGATGAGTTGAAATTCGAAGTTATTATAGTCGAAAAATAGACAAAATAATGTCGGTGGACATTTTCGATGTAAAATGAGATTTTCTCTATAACAAGGCAAGCTACCGTTTGAGTTGCCGTTTTTACTACATATTCTCGGCAGGAAATGAGAAAAAGGGTAAAGGGTTCGGCTCTAACTGACAAACAGTCTCAACTGTCAGATAGACCGAACAATTTTCGAAATATTGGTGGACCTTTAGTACAAAAACTAGATTGAATACATGTTCCATCCTGATTTTCAGTTGGATAAAAAACTCTAAAACAATTTCTTTTTTAGCCAAAATGTGGACCTTTGTACGTTCTATGTTTCTGTCTATTTTGAAACTTTTCAGGATTCGTCATTAACATATGAATCTAGTTCTAATCTCGGTGAGCAGAATTTTTTGCAAAAGTCTTGAAAAACAGTTTTTTGATAAAACCAGAGTCAACAGATGATTTTATTTAAATTCAAAGTACATATTCAGAAAACTTACTTTACAGGTTACAATAAAACGCTAAAAGACTTTTTAAACTAGTTTAAATAAATGAGAGAAAAAATTTGATTATTTCGCCAGAGGATGCCAGCTTTGCCAACAGCCAACTTTGGTCTTGTTCAAAGTATTTTGCGGGTGTCGTAGAACAGAAACCCTGCGTCAAATTTCTACGCTAACAGAGCATTATGCGGCTTTTTGACAGAATGTATCTAGTTTTATGCCATCCGGTAAAATTTTCTACTCGGTGCATATGTGCAAATTCTTTATATGACTTTATCCACATCCTTCATTATCAAACCTCTGTACGTATACACCTATCATATTCACTAAATCTCATATGACAGTGCATTGTAACCCCGTTATACCATTTTTCTTGAGAAAGTCGAAAACTAAAGTTGTATAGACGAAAATCTAGACATCTTAGAATTGGACTCCTTAAAGCGCATCGAATGATGCATGCACAATGATTGGTATATGTCTAGTATTGCGGATGACCAGCAAATTTTTAATATTTTAGTTTTGTGAAGAGTTTGACAAGTCGAAAAAGTTAAAGAAAGAAAACTAATTGATCATCAGGTCTCAACTAGACCACAAAAATGTATACATAGCTGATTACAAGTCGACGTTATGTAACTACACAAATACTTAAAACTAACCTGTGATTAACGATTACTGTTTTCGTGTGGAAAAGTATTATCATTGGCTCAGTCCATATGAAACCTACCACCAGTACATCGACATTCGGCGCCAGTGATGAGACCTATCTCATTTGTAGAGTTCGAAATGGCAAAAACCGCAAATATTTAGTCTAACAAGACTAAATAGAGTTTTTAGGATCTTGGATGACCGACTTACAAACTGCGTTTGTAAGCCACCAAAACTTTTGGAAGAACATCGTAGAGACTCGGCTCACATCTCATTTTGTAGCAACTTTGCCGAGTTATCCAGTATTATGTTGAAAAACTTCTGGAACGAATTTTAAGATCGCTAGAATTTCTTGCACACCGAGTTTTTCAGAAATCGTTTCCTCAAGCTCCTGAAATGTGTCATAACTTGTCTTTATCGACACATATTGAATTTGATGTTCTTTTTGTCATTTGAGACCAAGTTCAGGCTTCTGCGCTAGACAATCTGGACAGGAGACGTTTTATAAGTTGGACAAAATTCGCTGGAAAGTGACGAAAAATGCAGTTTTCCGCTGCGAGGGTAAAATGGCGATAACTTTTTTCTAACAAGACTAAATACTTGCAGTTTCCGCCATTTGATTCAGCTCGTCGACCTCTATAAATGAAACAGGTCTCGTCGCTGGCGCCGGATATCGATGTACTAGTGGTAGGTTACGTATGAATTCACTATGTTAAGAATTTGAATTTGCATTTTTTTGATTCCTCTACATATTTTATGTGCTTGAAGCACGAAAGTTAAAATGTAGGAAGGATGAGAATGATGGATGTTTTCTATACATGGAGAATACCGATCCAAGTTATAGCAACAACCACACTCTGATCGACATGGAATACGCATACACAAAAAATCACGACTGTATTATAAACTGTTTCCTGTATCCATCTTTTACATAGTTATATTCTCAGAGAACCTTACAGCTGGTTTAGGATGTGATTGCGCAGTTTTAATGTAACGGGACTTTTGTGACAGTTATATCTGCTCCCTAGCTAGAGACACACAAGGTTCGACGTCGAATCAAAATAGTTCCAGAAAGCTGCGAACGATATTGTTGCGTTACGTAAGAACTTGCTAGCTTGTAGTCGAGAAAAGCAGATAATAAAAGAGGACAGGTTCAACATCAACAATAAAAGATGAACGGCGTGAAATACGGATAACTGGAAGTGATAACATTTTTTGCTGTAAACATCACATACAAGCTCAATCTAATCTATTTTCCCTCTTCTCTCACTGTTTAGAGTTCTCCGGATCTTATTGATTTAAAAACGAACGCAAAAGATTTAACGGAGAAGAATTATTAGTACAAAAAATTAATAATGCAGCATCCTCAAATAGTTATTTAATTGTTTTATATTGGGACGAACGTATCAATCTTTAGATCTTAGATCGGCAATGGTTCGCATTAATTTGCGATGGAACATGGGATGACTCAATCAAAGGACAATTATGCGTTACAATTCGAGTTGTTGATAAAAAGTTAATCTAGGTGATAAATGGAAATTATATTAGATTGTATGGAATTGATCGTCAAAATTTTTCACATACAATACAAGGTGTTTATAATTGTCTTCAAGATGTTTTGTATTCGACTAGAACTATACTGAAGTGTTTTGGACGTCATACACGTAAATAAGAAAAGAAGAAGAATTACGAAAAATAACTAATAAAATACCTATATAAATCAACAATTCTACAAACAAGTGTTTTAGACGAAATCTAAGTTTTAGCCAATAAATCAAAATTACCACGTACACATCGGTAACTGTTGCGATATGCCCAAGATTTAAATTCTCATTCGTATAACTCATATGAGGAATATTATCATTCTCAATACTTTGAGCACTTTATAATTATATTTTAGATAGACACCAAGATAATAAAAATGACGATAATTTCATAAAAATAAATGATTTTCTTGATGATGGTATTTATTATGAATTGTGTGCAATAGAATGTTGTGTGATAAATGATTATTTCAATCTCTTATTAGACTAAATAACTCGGAATTAAAAATTACTCAAATATCCACCATTTGTGACTTAATAGCCAAGATTAAGTAGAAACATGGATGTTTTATAAATTTGCCAAACTACTTCGTCTCTACCTGCCAATTTCACTTACAACAGCAAGTGCCGGAAGGACATTTAGTTTAAGCTTTGCCAAGAACGAAATCGAGAATATAAATTCCCATTATCATAGATCCCACCTTATCTTACGCCAAAGTTTATTCTCAAACAATTTAAGTTAAATTTTACATAAACTTAAATTTTTAAAAATGTATTTTTGTATTTAAAAATCTAATTTCTGAAATTTCAAAAGTTCCCTTCGTGAGTTGATGTAGAATTTGATACTGAACTAGTTTTGTTCCCACAGTTTTCTTCTATAATACTTTCCTGAAGCGAAACTTTGTGCAAGATTTTTTGAAAACATTTTTTGTAACAAAAACTGGTTGTGCAAGAAAAAACCAAATTTTTCCATCAGACCTTATCCGATAACGATGAAAATGTTATTGTAGGTACATTTCAACATAGTCTATCGAATGACGAAAGATTCAAACTTATCTGTCGAAAAACAAAAATTTTATTGATATCTCAAAAATAGAGAGAAAAACTCGGGGAAAATTTAAAAAATTTTTTTCCAAAAAACTACAAGTTCGGTAACCGAAAAAGTTTTGCTATATGTATGTCAAACTGTTCCTCTACAAGACGGTAAAAAAACGAGTGTCAGGATCCACTATCGGACAAGTAATTCTGAAACCATTTATAAATGCAGCACTCTCCAAGCTCAGCAGAGAAAGCTTTATGAACAAAATTTGGTAAGAGACTGGCTCGAACTCCATTTCAAAATCAGACAGAACCATAATGGACTCGGTTCCTGTTTCCAGATTTTGTATATGCTTTGAGTCAAACAAAATAAAGTGATTTTAAGAACGATTTTGAAAGTTGGCTTTACTCTGGATCTTCAGAAATTCGGAAACTTATTCAAAAGATAGTGAGTGCCATTATAATATGAAAACGATAATAGGTTTAGATTTGGCCAAAGATTTGGCTTAGATAAATTTAGAAAATAAATATGAGTAGAATTGAGTACCTATGGCTTTTCTCTTTTTTTTATACTTAATTTGCTTTCTACACGGATCGTTGATTTTTGGTAGATGATCGTCATAAATACTGCTACGATTAATACTATATTTTGAATAAAACCAAAATGACGACTAACAATGACAATGTTGGCAAATTTATCGGAACAGCATTTGTTGCATATATTGGAACAAATGCTGATGATCTTGTCATTTTGATGAATTTTTTTACTGAAGCAACAATTCAGAAATCGAGTTTAAAAGTGCGTCACGTTTTTATTGGACAATATCTGGGATTTACTATTCTTGTGGCAATTAGTTTAATTGGTTATGGAGTATCGTACGCACTACCCATTCAATTATTGGGTTTTCTTGGATTTTTACCGATTATTTTAGGAATTAAAGGGTTTGTTTCACTGATACTCGAATTTTATCGTAAATCAACTGTACCTATCACAGATATAGTACCATCTCATGAAATACAAACCATTGAATTGGAAACAATACGTCAAAGAACAGACAATGGAGAAGTGATTTCAGAAATTAGTATAAGATCTCAAGAAAGTGTAGCTTCTGAAACGTCTGTTCCACCGAGTACGAAAATCAAGAGTACTATAGTTAAATTTATGGGTCAATTTTTCAATTTACAAACATTGAAAATTGCGAGTATAACATTAGCGAATGGCAGTGATAATATTGCTATTTATACACCCCTATTTGCACAAGCAAGAAAATGGCAAATTGGTGTTTATATAGCCATATTTTTAGTAATGGTACTTGTCTGGTTACTATTTTGCTATTACTTTATCAATTATCGGCCAATATTGAATTTAGCACAAAAATATGCACATTATGTAGTGCCATTGGTATTTATTGGATTAGGAGTTTATATTATCGTTACATCAAACTGTTTTCCATGGTTAGTCAGAGCAATTAAGACAAAAAACTTTAAAAATGGCTAGAGCAATAAGCTACTGTAAATATATATATAGATGGCTCAAGTTATTTAAACGAAGATTTAACTATTACTAGCTGCAAGCAGATGCATCTAGTTAAGAAGTAACCTATCCGGCCATATGTTGGTTTAAGAACATTGTTTTTCGACTACTAAAATCTGTTACTACGCTTTCTTTTCATAATAAAGACGCAATATCAAAACTTTTACAATTACACCCTGTTTATGTACTAAGGATTATTACCGGTGGATATTGGGGATTAAATACATTCAATTACGTCAAAACTCAGCGAAAATAGGTTTTCGCATGCGCTCTTTCTTATGGAATTTTTTTGGCAGCACAGGGCTTTTCAAAAACGGGTTTTCTGAAAAGTCTTTCGGGGTTTTTACTACTAAAAAATGTCAAAGTTGACAAATTTTTAAAAGTTTATAGGTTTTCGGATGCGCTCTTTTCAAACTGAATAATAAAAAATGTCAAGTGATATCGCCACAAATCTAACTTCGAATTTTTGACAGTATGATACTGTATTAGGCCAGAGATTAGTTTATTATTTTCTTCACACTCATCAACGCCTAATAATTCACAAACTGTGGAAACGACTCTGTCTATTTCCTTGTTACAACTAACGAAAATTTTCGTAAAACTGGTTTAATGACAGATTCATAGGCTTTTCAGTTGTCACTTCTTTGCGTTCAGTTGATGTGGACTCTTCAGTCCCGTCCGTTGGGGTGGACGAAGCCCCGGCTCTGTCTGATGAGATCGTACTCACTTTTTGCATGACATATTATCAAGCGGTAAAGGTCATTACCTTGGGTGGTGAGACAACTTACCTTTAAATCGATTGCCCCTTCGATAGCCACCACCACCCACTCAACTGTGCCAAGGGATCTCAGCTGCTTCATCTCTGAGAAATTATATAACTTCCAGAGTACTTAGATGATAGGACCAGGAGGGAATTACGCGTGTTCCAGAAGGCCTGGCTGACTACGTCCCTACCATCTAAGCCTCCTAGCATTCTGGTAGTCACATCAGACCCTCTTTGGGGATTTCGCCTGTCTTTGAGCGCCTGCTCGGCCCTGCTAGCCGCTTCGAGCACGACAGGGACTCCGGAAGCACCCACATCAAACAGCAGTCTTTGAATGTGGCCTCGGAAGTGTCCGGAAGCTGCTGCTCATGAATTCTCATTGAGCCAGAGGGGGTTCGTCATACAGTCTCTAAATGACACCTACTGGGCTTCCGTCACAACTGTATCCTCATGCAAGAACTACTACTACAAAATCCGTTGTCATTGGTCAGTTCCTTATTCAATACCAGAACATCGTCTACTACTTGAAGTAAAGCCGTAGACACAGTTCTGTTCTATAAACTATGGCTTGTCTATAAACAACCGTTCCATTTTTGCGGGACGCCACACTGAAGATCATTTATTAGACATTAGCACTAGGCACATTTCCGAACAGCATTATCGTTTAGTCCACAAACGTATTACCTCCACTTTACCCTAGTTTACATCAAAGATTAAATGAGCAAACAATTATACCAATTAAAGGCGATAGGAAGGAAATTGATTAATGGTGTTGTGTTCTATATCAATTATTGCACAGTACAACATTGTCTCCGACATCAGCAACAGCCGTTTTAGAAGCACCTTCACAGGATATTACAAATCGCATTCCATCATCGTCACCATTAACACGTCACGATTATTCATCACCTCGAAGTATTATACTGGTGCCGTCACAACAGAAAGCAGCTCATCTGGGCATCATCACAGCATCATTCTCAAACCGCAACATTTTGCAAACATCTTAATTTTCTGCAACTCAACTGTAGATTTCGTTTTAAGCTGACTTATAATTCCTGTCACGCGTTTTTCGCAAAAATTTAGCTAAGAATAACTCAAACTTTTTCATGTTTATTTTATGTACCACCATCAACAAAGCTCGTACTATTTCTGAGATCGTAACCTGTTCTTTATGTAACAACATTATCCTAGTTTAATGTCTTTGCGGACGAAAAAGGCAGACGTCAAATTTTTGCGTAAATAAATATTTTTCAAAAATACAAATCCTTTGGAATTTGTTAAATGACACATCACTAGATGCAGCTTTTTACACTGATCCTAAATATTTCCTTATTTTTTAGCCCAGTCCCTTAGGCGATAGAAAATAGTATGAAAAACCGGGAATTTTTGGAAAACTCATAACTCTGCAAATAAAGCGAACGGCAACTTTCTGCTAATTTTGTAGATGCACCACCAATGGATGAATAGTCTCTGAAAGTTTTATTAAGTTTACTCATTAGCAATAGCTAGCGCGCTTACTTTACTGAACCCAAGTTTTTGAAAAACATCCAGCACATCAAAAAGCCAATTTTTATCAGCCAGAAAAGTCATTTGTTGATGGTGGTACATAAAATAAACATGAAAAAGTTTGAGTTATTCTTAGCTAAATTTTTGCGAAAAACGCGTGACAGGAATTATAAGTCAGCTTAAAACGAAATCTACAGTTGAGTT